CGAGATGTAGAATCGATACCCCCGGGGTCATCCAGCGCGTCTCAACCCTGTTCAACGGCCACCCTACTTTGATCTCTGGGTTCAACACTTTCTTGCCACCCGGCTACCGAATCGAATGTGGAACTGAGGACAATCCCGATGCCATTCGGGTCACAACACCGTCAGGCACAAACACCTTGAGTATGCCCCGTACAAGACACTCCTTGGAGTCTGGCGGAGAGCTCGGACCCTCAGGAGGCATGACCTCTCACGGCCGGGCTGAGTACTATGAGCAAACTCGTCCTGGCTGGCAACAACCGCAGCCTCAACCGCAGCCTCAGCAGCCCCAGCCCCAGCCCCAGGGCAATCTGCCAGGGTCGTACTCTCCCGGGTCGCGTATAATGCCCGGAATATTCGGACAGCAGGGTGGACCGAACCAGCCCCAGGATCATCACTTCGACTTCCCGACTCAACAAGAGCAGCAGGCTGCGGCGGGAGCAGCAGCCATGGCCCATCAGTCAGACCAGCGTGGCATTCACCTCCAAGGGGCTCCGTCCGCCGCTGCCGCAGGCTTAGGAAGACCTTCGTTGTTGCACATGGCTGGACCCTCTGCCCAGGGCCCTAATATTAACCAGTCCATGAACAATTTAGCTGGGGTCGGAACAGGGATGCTTCAAGGCGCTCAGGCCGACTTGAACAAGCGTGGTCCGGTAGAGTTCAACCATGCCATCAGCTATGTCAATAAAATCAAGGTGAGAGAGAAGCATGACAGCACTCGACGTTCGTCATCAGTACATCGTCTAACATCGGGGCCTCCCCAACAGAATCGATTCGCAAGCGCTCCTGAGATCTACAAGCAGTTCCTCGAAATCCTACAAACCTACCAGCGTGAATCGAAGCCAATTCAGGATGTGTACGCTCAGGTGACCCAGCTCTTCAACACGGCACCGGATCTGCTGGAGGACTTCAAGCAGTTTCTGCCTGAGTCGGCTGCTCATGCGAAACAGCAGGCTGCTGCGCGCCAGGCAGAGGAGGCTGCTCCTACGAGCAACCTTCGCGGGGAAGCCAGCTATCCAAGCGCCACTAACCTTCCCTCACAAACTCCCAACCGTGATGTGAAGATGCCGCCTCTGGGCCAGTTCAACGTCAAGGACACCGCAAAGGACGGCAAGAAACGGCGGGGTGGGCCTGGAGCTCCCTCCATCATGGGCTCGTCGATTTCTGGACCTTCTGCTGAGGCGGCTCGCATGGCCGAGTCTCAGGCTGGTCGAGCTCCAGCGGTGCAGCCTGGTGCTGCTAACAAGGTGAGAAGGCTTCTGTTTCAGTTACGCTTCACTTTGAGCTTACCGCTACCCTGACCTTCATCTCTCATATGTGCCCCAAGAGTCCACGTTTTGTGACCGCCTCTTAATTCACTTTGATTTTGCCGTGCTTTCTGATATTTGCTGCGCGATTCGTGCTAACCGAACGAAGCGAGCCAAGGTCCATCATAAACCGTCCCAGGCGGAGGCGCCAGCTGTGTCGCCAACACTTGTTCCTGCGCTTCCTGAGCCCATACAACCTTCCTTCTCGTTGACGCCCACTCAAGAGGAGTTCGCTTTCTTCGATCGGGTGAAGAAGTATATTGGAAATAAGCAGACATTCAGTGAGTTCCTCAAGCTCTGTAATCTCTACTCTACGGACTTGATCGACAGACACGTTCTCGTTAAGAGAGCTGCCAACTACATTGGTGCCAACCCGGAGCTCATGGCTTGGTTCAAGCGCTTTATGCATGTTGATGAACCTGAAGACAAAGTCGTTGACGTCAAGGCGAAACAAGAGCCGGGCGTGGTTAATCTCTCACACTGCCGCTCCCTCGGGCCGAGCTACCGATTATTGCCAAAGCGCGAACGGCAGAAGCCTTGCAGTGGCCGCGATCAATTGTGCTACAGTGTTCTGAATGATGAATGGGCCTCTCACCCCACGTGGGCCTCTGAGGACTCTGGCTTCGTGGCTCACCGTAAGAATCAGTTCGAGGATGCTCTGCATCGCATTGAAGAAGATCGACACGACTACGATCATCATATCGAGGCTTGCACGCGCACAATCCAGCTCATCGAGCCAATTGTGCAGCAGTTCCTTGTTATGAGCGATGCGGAGCGTGCTGCCTTCAAACTGCCCCCTGGTTTGGGCGGTCAGAGTGAAGCCATCTATCAGCGCGTGATCAAGAAGATCTATGACCGCCAGCGTGGTGAGAAGATCATCAAAGAGATGTTCGAGAGGCCGTGCCATGTTCTACCCATCATCCTATTCCGCCTGAAACAGAAATGTGAAGAGTGGAAAGCCAGCCAGCGCGAATGGGACAAAATCTGGCGCGAGCAGATGCAGAAGGCCTACTGGCGGAGTTTGGATCACCAAGCGATCGCCAGCAAGGGTACCGACAAGAAGCTCTTTGTGGCGAAACACATCCAGACCGAAATCCAGAACAAATTTGAAGAGGGTCGAAACCTGCGCAAGGGCGGGTACCAAGTCCCTCGACATCAGTTTGAGTACACGTTTGCGGATCCGGCTGTCTTGATCGACGCGACACACTTGCTGCTCACCTTCATCGACCGGAACTCGGCTGGGTTCGGAGCCGATCCTCAAAAGGTGATGACCTTCATCAAAGACTTCATTCCAGTATTCTTCGGTATGGATCGGGATACTTTCCATGTCTACATGAATGAACTGTCGAGCGGTACGCCGCCGATCGATGAAGGCGATGATGAGAGTCTGGCTGCGGACGATGCTTCCACTCCTCGCAGTCGTAAGGGTGGTGCCGGAAAGAAGATGGGTCTTCTCCGCGATGTCTTAGAACGTGCTGGTGAAAAGGTCCATCGGGCCGAGAAGGAAGGCAGTGCCCCGAACAGTCGCGATGGCACGCCTGATGCTGTCCTGGTTCCCTCAACCCCGATTCCTGACCCCGCCGAGTCCTTCGATGTGGCCGAGTTGAAATGGATGGAGCATCCGGGACAGGGTAACTTCAACCAGCAACGGGAGTACAATCTCAACGAGACCTACGAAAAGAAGGTGCATCACTTGTACGCCAACCTGAACATCTACTGTTTCTTCCGCACTTTCGAGATCTTGTATTCGCGCCTGCTCCGCATCAAGTTGCACGAGAAGGATGCCCACGACGATGTGCGGCGTGCGCTGGTCGGAAAGCCGGCGCAGGAGCTCAACCTTATTGACAAATTCCCCACCGACTTCTTCTACGACTGCGACCCGAAGGCCAACCTCTACCAACAGATCGTTCGGATGTGCGAGGAGGTGATCAAGGGTGACATGGAAACCACGCATCTGGAGGAGACGCTCCGCCGGTACTACTTGCGGAGTGGGTACCAGTTGTACAACCTGGAGAAGATGTTCACGGGTATCTCGAAATTCGCGGGAGCCATCTTCAGTGGTGATTCGAAGGACCGCAGCTCCGATATCATGAACCTCTTTTTCAAGGAGCGTGATCGGGAGGAGACCACTCACAACCAAGAGATCCAGTACCGCAAGCAAGTCGAGCGGCTGGTGAAGGATGGAGACATGTATCGCATTACATACGTAAGTTGTTTTTTTTTTTTTGTTTGAAGGTATTCGTGCTAATCATCTCTGCAGCACCCTGGCAGCAAGAAGGCTGCTGTGCAGTTGTTGACTCCCGAGGACGCCACACTGGAGAATGAGGAGCTCAGCCCCGAAGCGCGCTGGTCGTACTACGTGTCGGCGTATACCATGCGGGATCCGACGGAAGGCGTGGCGTTTTCGCAGATGCGCATGCCGTTCCTGAAGCGGAACCTACCGGCCAAGCTGGAGCAAGAGGAGGAATACAACCGGTATTACCGGCCGTTAGTGCACCAGGACGGGCTGATCATCCGCATCTGCGCCAACAGCTACCACATTCTGTACGAGCCCGGCAGTTCCGATTGGTGGTGGCGGCCCACCACCTCGACGGACGAATCCGCCGAAGAGGTAGCCAAGGAAGAAGCGGCCATCAAGGAACGACGGCGGGACCGGTTCATGGAGAAGCTGGTGAACAACCCTAGCTGGGCGCACGGGCTGAGCAAGGATCAGGTGGACGAGTCCAACCAGCGGTTCCGTTCGTGGATCAATGGACCGGAAGGCGACCAGACTGGTGCAGCTGCAGCGTCCGCGGGGCCAGCGTCCGACGCTAAGGACGACAAGGCAGATGCAGAGATGACAGACGTCGCGCCGCCTGCATCCGAGTCCAAGGAGCAGTGAGGCTGCACCGGGAGGGCGGGGGCGGGGGCGGGGGCGGGGAAGGACTCCCGATGGGTGGGTGTACTACGGGTGGGAGGGGATTATGATGATGATTGATAAACCAACTAGCGGGGGAAGAGCTTATGTTGACTTTTCCTGTTGACGCGAGATATTCGTTTCTTCTCCCATCCCCGGCGCGGCGTAAACTGTGTGTGGCATGTAAACTTTTTTTTTCTCTCACATTCTTCTTCGGACCGGATTGAATCCCGCCAGGTTCCAGGTTCCTTGTTATTATTGATGTCTGTACTTTTTCTTTTTCATATTTGCTGTCGGTCTTTCGCTTTCAGGTCCATGATGAGCGGATACGGGTTTACTATCTATGGTTGCACGAATGGGAATCTTTCTTTGATCAGTCCTTATCTGCTGGGATTTCAGGTGTATACGAGTAGAGGGGTAGAGAGGTAGTTTGATTTGACCCGGTGTGAAACCTGTCTCGGTGTTAGTTTTAGGCTGCCGGGCCGGACGGAACCTTGGGACTAGCAAGCCACTCACTGCACAGGCTGGTTTTCTATACAGCTGTGAGGGAGTCAGATTAGTGTTTAGCATCTGTAACAAGGGTAAAACATGCTTCGGTTTATTTTGTGTTCAACCTTTTTCAATTCTTATTCGCAGATCTTTTACATGCGAACCCCTCCAGAAGAATTATACAATACAAACTAATCTTGGTAACTCCTAGATCTATCTGGGATTTCTCAAAGTATTTATACATGATTACAAACCTTGTACTCTCATTTGGCTCAGTGAATTTGTGTAGGGGTGGTGTAGGATTGAGCTTTTCTGATTATCAAATTGGCTATTCCTTGAATTTCCATGATCAAGCCGAGTTCTAGCCTGCTTATAGCACTGTAATACTCTTTTTCCTGGGGGAAATAGTGTTAATGCTTCTTGACCCACTGTGTCTGGATCTCAAACGCATCCCTCTCCCTCCCCACCATACCTTTCAGACTGAGTTCTCGTAGCTCGGTAAACAGCGAAACGGCATCCCCATATAGATGGTGCGGAGTCCAGCCATCTCTCAATACGACGTCCGCAACGGAATCCCAGAAGTCTTGCACCTCATTCCACCCGGCACCCTCCTCGGCATGGACCCGTAGATCATCCTCGGTGAAATGGATCGGACATGGGAGGTCAAGCCCCAATTCGTTCCAGTATCTAGAGCATAATGATTTAACGGGGGAAAAATCACTATAGTATAGGAAAGGTTGTGCGGAGGACATGCTATGTCGTACTTACCTCTCAACCCTAATCAGCGATTCCCGCAAGGGGAGAAGGTCGTCCTCCCAAGTGTCGCCCACGAACAGAACCGGATTGCACCTTGTCCGACTGTGGTCGAAACGGAGGACTTGATCGAGCAGGGGCAGCTCTTTGGCGATCTGCTTCTCGTAGGGTAAAGCAGGATTGAGCGACTCATAAGGCCTCTGATTCGCGTTCTCTCGGCCGGATCTAGATGCATAAAGTCCTCGGGAGCTTTCAGGATCACGTCGCCGCTGTAATCGACTAGCCCTGGGTGGCGTGCTTGGAGGATCAGGGGGGCTGCCCAAAGTCCTTGCCAGTCGATCACACTCGAGACCTTCCCGTCGCGGACAAAGATGTTTCCTGTGTGTAAGTCCGTATGCCAGATGTAGGGTGCCACCGCGGCGGGATTGTCTGCTGGGAGCAGATATGGGGCAACTTGACGATACTTCTGCAGGAGGGAGATGTGGCTACTGGGGGAGTTCTGCGTTGCTGAGGTCACTAGCGGGTCGTCTTCGGCTTTTGGAGTTGCGTATCGTTGGATCCATGCCCCTTCTCGGTGAGCTAGAGAGAGTACGTAGTCCTGTGGTTGTTTCCCTTTTTCATTTTCCAGGTTATTAGTTAGGACGAGAAAGGCGAACGATAACAGTAACCAGGTAACAAACATGGTCCTCGGTCCAAGGTCATCTCTGCACGTTCTTTGGTCCAGTAGTGTCTTTCTGCGATCGGGCCGATCACGAAACGACGGCGGATTGTGTCTTTGAGCTCAGCAGGTATTCCTGCACCGGTTTCGGCTGGAACGGCATTTCTGATATTGGCACCGGTATAGTATAAACTCCCATAGCTTATAAGTCATCATTAATAAGATGATAATAGATCAGACTTGACTAGAAGATTGGGGAAGCATTGCCGATTTAGTGGCACTTAGGAGCATTTTTCTCTCCAGTTGCACGAGATCCTTCATGACTGCGATCTTCTCTTCGAGAGAGTAATCATCCCATGATTCTTCCAGCTTCGTACCGGGGGCTTCCTCCATTATGATATACTCAGACCCGACAGGATTGCCCACGTCTGCATTCCAAGCATACACGTGAGGTGTTGGGACTCCGAGGATTGTGCGGGCCTGAAATTGCATAAGTTACTGTAATCATACCGAGGGATTGATGGTTGCGTAACTCACAAAATCCATCGTTGCGACCTCAGATGCTGTGGTGTAGTATCTCGGCCCGGCAATCGGATAGGGGATTCTTGCAATCACGGATGAGCCACCCCCCATCTCTAGCCTGAAGGTCTTGTTGAACGAGCCTTCAGCCAACTTTGTGATTGCCGTGCATGTCTCCGCCCCAACACTTTGCGCGGCGACTCGTTGCAATTCCCGCACGTTGAACGGCGCAAATCGGTCGCGCAGCTGCTGCTCCTCGTCCCAAAGCCAGCGGTCGCTGGTGTATCGGAAGAGCTCTGTTGTGTCGGGCTGGGGTGGTATGCTTGCAGAGCTTATTGACCGCGAGACGCGGTGAGACTTTGCAAGGAACTGGGGAAGAGAGGGACTTGGTATTCTTGAAGTCAAGGGTGTTGTATAGTGATGAGTGCTTCTTCTATGGTAAACGGTGGCAGGGTTGAAGTGTTTTCGCGCAGGTGCAGGAGTACGCTTGGTTGACAACTTCATGATTGGCTTCTATAGTGTCAGTCTGCATCGTATGGGAATGTCGTCGCCGTTGTCGAGTATATTATAGGTTGTTCATTGCGGTACCTCAGTAGTCACCAGTAACTCCTAGTTCACATACTCATGTACTGTCAGTGGTTCACACCCGCTATTGTATACAGTCACCCTTTCTCGGGAGTTCATCCGGCTCATGTTCCGCCTACTCATTTCGTAAGATTCTGCCAACATGGCTTGTATGGCTTTCCAGAGGATATAAGATAATAAAAGATATGGCCTGTTATTCTAGTCATTAGTACCAAGACTTGCTAACAGAGATAGTTCATAAAATTCACCCTATACTATTACTGACCGGGACTACGTAAATTATGAGGCATGACATGTCTCCCCACTGTACTCCGTAGCCCGAGCCTGCTACGATAAGTCGGGCAAGCAATTCGGATAAAGATTTAATTAAAGTTGGGTGACTTCTCCACCAAAGCTCCACTAAACCAACGCTCCAGACCTCCAATTAGTTGCCGGGGACTAGTCTAGTAAATGTAGTTGTAGTTTCGGGGTTCGTGGCGTACGTCAATATTTGGTCCATCACCACAAGGATATGAAGGTCTGATTCATTGGGTCTAGCAGCGATCCTGCCACATACAGGAGATATAGGCGGTAATCTAGGTAATTGAAGATTCTAAGTAGAAACAATGCAAGGAAACGACCAGAAATGACTGGGCGGGCGAATCACGTGCTGACCATGTCAACTTTCCCTTGACAGTCGGCACTTCTCAATCTTCCTCCACAACACCTGCATTATCATCTCTCATTTCGCGCGGCGTCCAAGCATACCCTCAATTGGATTCATTCTTGCACCTTGATCTCTCGACGCTGACGTTCGCGTGATCGTGAGCTACCTGATTCCCAGGGTGGCTGGCAAGATCAAGGCATCACGTACTGTATATTCTATGAAAAATGCGCCGATCACCATCCGCGCGTCCTTAGGGTTATATTCAGAGTATAATATTAAGTCCGAAAAGACACTGCCGCTCAATCTTTCAGATGTCATCTTTATTCTACCATCACTATCCCGTAAGTATAGACACGGAAGCTTTTCAGATAGATATACACACCCGTTAGAGCGCAACTCAACATATTACTTATTCGCGTCAGATTAGAATTCTCACAATAATTTCTTTAAATTTACTCGTGGCTGCTTTATTATTAATAAGGCAGAAAATACTCGAAAGTAAGAGATCAGATTCGATATAAATAGCCTCGCAAGAGTCGCAGCGCAGTCGGTTAAAGCTGCGTAATATATTACCATTAAAAAGTACCCTAACAGTATGTTCAACAAAGCGTTTCTCATGACTATGGACAATGGTCAAGAGGTTATAGCCAAGATTTCCAACCCAAATGCTGGCATTCCACACTCCACTACTGCTAGTGAAGTCGCTACGATGGACTTTGTAAGTTCATCCTGACCACCAATAACATCAAAGTCTTGCTAACTCATTTGATCCGGGGAGGCTAGAAAATGTCTTGACACACCAGCGCCTCGTGTCTACGCATGGAACTCGCAAGCCAAATCGCACCCCGTGGGCGCTGAGTTTATCATCATGGAAAAAATAGAAGGTGTTCCGCTCTCCCAAGTCTGGAGCACTATGAGATTACCACAGAAGCTCCAAGTGCTTCTTGCCATGACACGTCTCCAGAAGCAATGGCTGAACGTCTCATTCTCGCATTAGGGCAGCTTGTATTACACGGAAGTCCTGCAACTACCAGCAGGCAACGACTTCGTCAAGGATGGCAAGGCTGTGAGAGATTCGGGCTTTGCCATTGGTCCGGCTACAGGCCGGGACTGGTGTGATGCAGGCCGCTCAGGTCTAGATGTCGACAAGGGGCCATGTACGTTGTGGTTTACGTCACTCGCTGTATAGTAGCTGATCATTTTACAGGGGCCTCTCTAAAGCAGTCGGGACACGAGAGGTGAAGGCAATCCAGTCTCTAGAACCTCCGAAAACGGTTGCCTTATTCTGCGGCCCAAAGCTATACCGACCAGACACGGAAAATAAACTTACTGCTCTAGCATGGTGCCAACAAATCGTTGATGCTCTAATTCCCACCGATGCAGCCATCGCCAGACCCTGCCTCTGGCATAATGATTTGCATGATGACAACGTCTTCGTAGACCCGCGTAATCCCGGAGAGATTACGGGTATCATCGACTGGCAGTCTTGTCACCTCTCGCCCCTCTTCAACCACAATCCCGACCCAGTCTTCCTCGACTGGGATGGCCTTGAGCCTGAAACGCTGGATCTGGCACCACGGCTCGACCTCTCCGGGCTTTCACCCGAGGAACGGTCAGCTGCTTTTCAGGAGTATGCCATCCAAAACGTATTCATCGGATGGCGGAAGCTCATGCATGCCAAAAACCCCGACTTATACCGGGTAGTTGAATTCCGGAGGACGGCAGCATACGGGCTGATATTTCTGGCCCACCGAATGTTCGAATACGGCGAGGCGCACTTCCAGTCACTTCTGGTGGATCTGAAAGATACGTGGACGGACCTACCTGCGGTCACCAGCGATACCCCATTCCCGTTCGACTTTTCGGAAGCAGAGATCGAGCGGATCAAAATGGATAGCGATGGTGCAGTGGCAGGAACCGAGCTTGTGACAGAAGTCAAGGAGAAGATGGGCGATCTGTGGCCGGACAAGGGCTTCATCGAGCACGAGCGATACAATGATTGCAAAGTTGCCCTCGACGAAGTCAAAGGCTTGATCTTGGAGCAGTTAGCTGAGACCGACGAGGAGAAGGCTGAGTACGAGCGCTATTGGCCATTTGAATAATCTCTCTATCGTTTCGAGGAGATGGTATGGTTGTGCGGAAAGCCTTCTTATTCATATTTGGGTGGTTGGGTATGGGAGATGTGACTTTGGGAACACAAGACATTTTTGGAACAGCAATCTCTTGTCCACATCTTTCTTTTTCTATCGATCTTTCGCTTTCATTATGGTTGCACAAATGGGAGTGTTTCTTTGATCAGTCCTTATGTACTGGGATTTCAGGTATATACGAGGAGAGCGGTTAAGGCAAGTTTGGTTGACCGGGCGTGTTGCTACTGTTGCTACTGCTTCTACAGCCAAGCCGGAACCTTAGGATCAATCACCGCGCCACCCACAACCCCAGGAATTGTTTTCCTTTTTGTCTGGTTCGGTGTAGATTTTCGGGTTTTAGATGCGGCATGGATTTATTTTTATTTTTATTTTTCTTTTTTTTTTCTAATTGAACTTTTCTTTACACCTCTCTAATGTTGTTTGTGCACGTAGGTCGGTAGGCAATACCTCAAGGAAGTAGCTAACTTGATTGTTTAAGTGTGTACTAGTATAGTCAGTGTACACTGTAGTTACAGTAGAGAAGTTACCCGCGCTGACAGATGTTATTAACCGGGTGGCTATGATTTGGCTTCAGGTGCTGAAGTAGCATGGCTAAGCTGCCGATCGCCATGCAGGGGAACCCAAAAGCTCCGTGTGGCCGAGACTCTAGTACTGGCGATAACCGATACAGCCCGAGACTGGACCGGTCGCTGGGCCAAGTTCGGGGTGATCGGAGATCCGTCGGGATTTACTTGTGCGTTGATTTCAGGCATGGAATATTCCACTGACATTGGCATTGACTGATATATTCCTTTGATGATTTGTGTTGTGCTCAATCATATTGACTGGATTGATATGTCTTCCGTGCTGTATAGTTCCAGTTTTAAGAGTTATAGTCCTGGAAAGCAGGTTAAGATGCAAGCCAGAGTGAAGGTCTGGAAGGCGGCGGGCCGAGAAATCGCCGGGATGACGTCAACCACCGGTCATGGACTGAATTGTGTACCTCTCAGTATGGAACTCCCGCGACAAGACCTCAACGCCCCGAATTACATCTGGCCACCTTGCAGCTTTTTCATCTCGCTTGTCCTTTTACCCCTGCAGTTGACCACCTATGTTCGAATTGTTCTGGAAAATAGAAAAGATAAAATTCCCCCACCAATTGTGTTGAATGGGGAGCTTCCTGACGCTGGGCTGGAGCTGGAGCTGGAGCTGGAGCTGGAGCTGGAGCTGATAACCGCCGCGCGCGGCGATAAGTTCCACAGCAGCTGAAGCGGAGTAATAATCACCCACGGTGGACTGCACTGGACTGGGGGATGTTCATCATTTGCGGGGTGAGAAGGACTTTAGTTACAGCGTAGTACGTATGTGTACTCCGTATGTTAGTAGTCAGACTGGTAGTCTGATAGTCTGGTAGTCTGGTAGTCTGGTACAGTTAGTAGGTAGTCTAAGAATATGGAGCAAGTGTCTGACTCCGTATCCCCGAATCAACCGGGGCAGTGGAACGAGGCGGGGGTGGATTTTCCAGCGACTGCGACAGCTCCAGCTCGACCGTATTTCTATCCCACCGTCTCCCCTCTTTTTCTTAGAACCTTCTCTTTCTCTTGTCAAATTTCCCTCTCTTTTCTTTTCTTCCTCTCCTCCTTCTCTTTCCTCCCATCTTACACCCTCAATTGCTATTCCATCCCTTCCCTTCTTCTTTTCCCTCCTCCCCTCTCCTCTCTCCTCTCTCCACTCCCCTCCTCTTCCTTGAATCAATCCCACAATGTCAGCCTCCGCCCTTCTAAAAAGCCGTGTCCGGCGACCCTCCTACCTCAAGAAGCTGGCCAAGGCCGAGGATTTGATCGACCTCTTCCCCCATGGATCGTACATCGGCTGGTCCGGATTCACGGGTGTTGGATATCCCAAGTGCGTTGCCCAGTCCCTTTCTCGGATTCCTTGATCTGCGCAATTCGATCTTGCTTCAAACCTGAGTCCTAGGCTAATTGGCCCCCAGAAAAGTCCCCACGGCTCTGGCCGACCACGTCGAGAAGAACAACCTCCAGGGCAAGTTGAAATACAGCCTGTTCGTGGGCGCCTCGTCCGGCGCCGAGACGGAGAACCGGTGGGCGCGGTTGAACATGATCGAGCGGCGGAGTCCCCATCAGGTCGGCAAGGAGATCGCAAGGGGTATCAATACCGGCGATATTAAGTTCTTCGATAAGCATCTGAGCATGTTTCCTTCGGATTTGGTTTATGTAGGTTGTCCTTCCTCGCTTCGGTTGAAGTTGAGGTCGCTGTGGGCTCTGGGTTGCCATGGGATGGAAGTGGTTGTCTACGGTTGAACTCGTACTGATTCTCGAGGCGTAGGGCTGGTACACACTCAACAAGCCCAAGAACCGACTCGACGTGGCTGTCATCGAGGCCTCGGCCATCACAGAGGACGGCGGCATCATCCCCGGTGCCTCGGTGGGTGCCTCCCCCGAGTTTGTCCAGATGGCCGACAAGATCATCATCGAGGTCAACACGGCCAGCCCCTCGTTCGAGGGTCTGCACGACATCGTCATGTCGGATAAGCCCCCGCTCCGCAAGCCCTACCTGATTATGCAGCCCGAGGACCGCATCGGCACCCCGCACATCCCCGTCGACCCGGAGAAGGTCGTCGCCATCGTCGAGTCCGACTACCCGGACCAAACGCAGCCCAACGCCCCCGAGGACGCCGGCTCGCAGGCCATCGCCAGCAACCTGATTGAGTTCCTCAAGCACGAGGTCAAGCACGGCCGCCTGCCCCCGAACCTGCTCCCGATCCAGTCGGGCATCGGCAACATCGCCAACGCGGTCATCGGCGGCCTTAGCAAGGGCGGCGCGGACTTTACCAACCTGAAGGTGTGGACCGAGGTCCTCCAGGACTCGTTTTTGGACCTGTTCGACAGCGGCAACCTCGACTTCGCCACCGCGACCTCCATCCGCTTTTCGCCCGACGGCTTCAAGCGCTTCTACGACAACTGGGAGCGGTACGCGGGCAAGCTCCTCCTCCGCCCGCAGCAGGTCTCCAACTCGCCCGAGATCATTAGACGGTTGGGCTGCATCGGCATGAACACCCCCGTCGAGGTGGACATCTACGCGCACGCCAACAGCACCTGCGTGATGGGCTCGCGCATGCTGAACGGCCTCGGCGGCTCGGCCGACTTCCTGCGCTCCAGCAAGTACAGTATCATGCACACCCCCAGTACCCGGCCCAGCAAGATCGACCCCACCGGTGTCAGCTGCATCGTCCCCTTCTGTACCCACATCGACCAGACGGAGCATGATCTGGATGTTGTCGTCACTGAGCAGGTACGTCCTTCCCCTTTTCTACTCGTTTTATTTGAATAGTACTAACAGAGGGGAAAAAGGGTCTCGCCGACGTCCGCGGCCTCTCTCCTCGCGAGCGCGCCCGCGTCATCATCGACAAGTGCTCCCACCCGGACTACAAGCCTATCCTCACCGATTACCTGGACCGGGCCGAGTTCGAGTGCCTCAAGAAGGGCATGGCGCACGAGCCCCACCTGCTCTTCCAGGCGTTCAAGATGCACCAGAATCTGCAGGAGAAGGGCACGATGAAGATCGATTCTTGGGAGTAAACCAACCCTTTGACCTCGTGTCTTCCTTGTTAGGTGGAGAAAGAAAGTGTAGGCTGGGATGGATGGAGTTTTCCTTTTTTGAAGGGTCAATTGGGAAATGTGGATAATACCATAATAAATCATATCCTTTTGTATTGCTTTGCATTCGATCAGGCTGTAGGGTGTGTTTGGAGTGGGTTCTTGGGCTTATGTACTCTACTGTGAATGTCTGTGTGTGCATGTATGCGATTATCTTGCTAGCAGGGGGGGGGGGGAAAGAATAAACCGACAGTAGGAAATCCTACCACAGAAGGACAAATATCTCTACTAAGAAGGATTCAATATAACCCAGACTTCCAGATCATGAACTGTGCAGTAACCATGCTTATGCTCATGCTCATGCACCTCTTGACGCACCTACCACACCTACCAGGAAAAGATGCTACGGTTTCTGGCCATGTGCAACGAAGCTTAATCCGAAAAGACAACAGGCCGGCGGCCCCCTGTGTCCTCGCGGACTAACTTACAGCAAGCTATGGAGAATTACTCGTAACAACAATGGTAACAACAACAGGAAACCCCGCCTCACGTTCGCGGCCCAATCTTCCATCAACGTCCTGGAGTCTTTCTACTACCTTCGGTATACTTCATACCTTTCGCACCGCTTGATAAACCGACCACTCTTACCACCCACCATGACCCGACCCTAAGGATATAATGTTCACTTATAGTATGAACTTTTGACTTGTTGGAGACTAGGTCTTGTTGGAAAGCAGCTAAGCGAGTTCGAGAGATAGTACCAATCAGGAGAACTTTGGGAGACGAGACTTGGATTGATCACTTGGGCAGTCGACAGTACAGTTCTGTTGTAAAAAGAAAAGTTCGATTCCTTATTTTTTTTTTGGCTCGTAACAAAAGGACTGATATACTTACTGACATACTGGTCTAGCATACTTGGTGAATTTAATGTACATACATACAGTAACCTATACGTTCCCCCCCTGTGCAGGTGTTGCACTAATATCGGCGGGACATAAATCCCACTGCCAAATAGACACTACACGGTACCAATAAACTTACTAGGTATACACCTGTAGATAGGACTCTCTGATGGGTGAGGGATCGGGTTATCTGTGATGTGAGCTAGCCAGCTCGTGGCTTTGGGGTATATCCAGGAAGAAAAAGGATATCATGTGAGATCCCTTCTAATTTATATAGCTTACTACTTATTTGCTTGTAAATTGGCATGTGAGAAAGAATACTAGCCAGCAAAGAATCACGCGAGTGGCGTTGATGTGGATTGATGCAAGCGAGGAAATCTGTGTTGGGAGGGGAACTTGCTTGTATGAGAATTGGGTCTGATGCAAGCTGATAAATAAGAAAATGAGAGGGATTTGCCCGAGTACGGGGTCTTGATATACAGATATTCGAGTCTTATGCTGAAAGGTAAATGGTTATAACTGGTGATGGCAAAAAAACATAACCAAGAAAGATCAAGGGAAAAAAAACAGATATCGAGTATCTAAACTTAGATAAAGTATACAACAACCCCAGAGACTTTTATGGATGTTGATATAGTACAAACTCTAAACTTCTCCTTCATATAATGGATCAGGAAAAGCCTTTCAGTAGAAATCCCAGGGGCGGGACTGCAGTTGGGCTACCTAGGAGGTTTAGCGCAATATTTTCACCAAGGTGTTGTAACGTCTAAAGAATTATGGTTGTTTAGCTTTTAATCGCTTATAGCTCCAAAGAAGCTGGGGTCACCTACAGATATGATCCACAAGACCCGGGTCTTTTTACAGCTTCCAGGCTATCTTGCTGATTTTTCAAGCTGTATTCAGAGTCTTGGAGCTTGGTACTAAATGAGAACCTTTATTGAACGTATGAACAGGTATACACCGCTTCCTCGATTGGCGGATATCGGAAGTTGACATATATGCTTCGCCTGCGTCGTTTGCCTTGCAAAACAGACAAAAGGCAAAGCTCAATTAGGCAGAACTTCGCCCCTGAAGTGCAGCAAGCCGTCGGGCATTGCGAAGATGATTGTAGGTAATGAATGGGTCTTTGGACACATCGACCAGATGATCCCAGCCGTACTGGTCGACCCGACCCTGCTGCTCACACTGCAAATACCCCGGGGCGAATCGCTCAAACTCCTCGGCCCACTCGGCTGGGGCGTAGTCACTGAATGATTGCAGGTCTCCGCGCTGGCCGAGCGCCGCCATGATCTCCAGGAGCGGCGGATGCAGGTCGATGCTAAAAGTAGTTTTATAAACCGTCAGTTTATATGATTCACTTTCACTCAGAAGACAAAGACAACGAATCACGTACGGCTTATTGACATATAGATCCGCCTCAGGTCTCTCGTCCATAAGCTTGCTCCATGAATGGCCCAATGCATAGCGGAGCGATGTCAGGGGACCCAAGTGGAACGGGACTATACGTGTCTGGCAGGCAACTTGCCCGTTCAGAGCGAAGCTTTCGGGGTTGTAGCTCAGCGGATGACTGACTGTGTTCTGCAGGTGAATATACAGAAGCATCAAGAGCTTGGTGATACGGGAATAGTTCTCCGGATCATAGGGCTTGTCCACCAGGCAAACCCTTTCGACGCCCATGCGCCATGTAAATCGGTGATGTCCGGAAGTGGTGCACACGAATGTTATGACTGGGAAATGTGGATTCGACATTAATCTCTCTCTCTATTCATTCTGTAGGTCCATGGGCTTATTGTAAGGGAATCTCTACATCACGAAAGCTTTGATCCGCACGCGCCCATTTCTCCACCAGAGTCCGCCGTTGGATCCTATCCGCCTCGGGGTCAGAAGAAGGAGTCCAGGCTTCTTGTCACGTGAGATATGATCAGCTCGACTTCCGGGTGTGTCTGTGCCGGTCGACGGTCAGATGTACCGTACCTTTTGAGAACAGGCACCGGCCTTTGATCTCTTCTGGCACATCAACCTCATCCAGCTCGCTATCGGGGTGTAGACGGACAGCAGGCGGGATACCGCCAGGCCACACGTGCGCTCTTGAAAGGAGAGTTTGCATTGTATTATGGGAGGAGCTGGAAGATGACGGGTAGGTATCGATCTTTATGGCGAAGGGATTATCAGTTCGGACCACCAAATACCCTGCCGAGCCCTGATGTGGGGTGGGCGGGGAGAACAGTGGGGCAAATTAGTAGGAGTAGCCTCTGTGCTTGCGTCCATCTGGATCTTGACTGTTCCTCTATTTTACTTAACTTCAAAGTATAGTCTTCACGGACCATAATCATTTCTTCTCTTCTTTCTTCTGGTTGGCTTTCCCTTGGGAAAGAGACGGACAGCCGAAGACGATCATCCTTTGATGATATGAATAGAAACGAACCCTACCACACTGCCTGCAGCCAGCATACACTGACTGTCAAGAGGAAGAAAGTAATCCAATATCATCATGCCCTGCCTACAATAGGAATCCAATAATCTCCTCTAAGTCCCTTTATGAGAAGCTCATGCTTACGAGATGGATAGACCATCTGAACGGGTCATATCTTGTACAGAGAGATCCCGGAAAGAGAAAGAAAGAGAAAAAAATAACAAAAAAAAGTACAAGGAAGCCCAACAAATTCCGTGGAGCGCTCGATCTCAATGCCGATGACCATGGTGGTGGTAACGGTGGTTGTCGAGGTGCTTTCTCTACGCAACCTTTTAGTATCCAAAATCTCTCATCTCGGACTACGGCGAATGGTTCATAGCACAGCCTCTCCATCATTCGGCAGCCACTTCCGCTGGAAATCCCCTGGGAAAAGAAAGCCAGCTGAATAGACAAATTACCAATACTGTGTACATTGGATATTGGCGGAAAAATAATCGGAAGCATGAAGCGGTTTCGTGGTTGTCTATAGTCTACACCATTACCTAGGGCTAAGTTGTGGGTGGGGGTCAACGCCACTGTTAAAAGGGACTAGCGTTTTAATAGTTCCCACGCGTCAGTCTGGTAGCGAGTGAAGGAGGATTTATCTACGAGTTGTACCTTCGAATCAGAGCTCAGGGTCTTGGATGTTTCCGGGCCGGAGCGGAGGTTTAAAGAATTTTAGGATCCCATCGGATTGCGGGCTACTCCCGGATTCATCCATGTCTTAGGGTAATAAGATAACACTTTAGATACGAAGAGTACTCATAGTGGATCTTATAAATGGAGCCATTAATTTCCGAAGATAAAATAGTCACAGACCTAGTGTCCCCGGAAGCCGAGAACAGTCAAGACCCTGTCAGAAAGGCTTGTGAAAAAATCACCGAACACCCCCCACCTGCTCCACTGCCCTCGGGGTTAGTCTTTGCAAGTTTACTGTGTAGTGCTTGACAGAGCCAGATAATTTCCACATTTCAAGTGCCTGAGGAGCAACTCCTCCTCTCTCTACCCCTTTTATGGAGCTCGAGTCCAGATTCGAGTACTCTGAAGCAATGAACCATGGGTTGGTGCGAAGCAATATTATTCGATAAGTAGAGGTGTGAAATCAAGGTGCTAGCAGATTGAAGATTTTTTTTGTTTTTCGTTGACTTTCGCAAAGCACGACAAATGAACCCGCTATCATATCCCCTATTTGACCTGAACCTATCAAGCAACTAGTAGTGATACTAAGGTAAGCTAGCCCTACAGGTCTGGAGCTAACTGGAATGGGAAATCTCCTCCTAGATCCATCAGATGATCTGCAAATCGATTGCCTGTCCCAGTTAAGAGGCGTACGTCAGCTTCTCTCTCCGGCTGTTCCGCATTGGACCCGCACAAATCCTGCAAATGAACTCAGGGCTTGGAAAGGGTTCATGCACGACCATTGGAGATGACAGGGACTCAGGAACCGAGGAGTTGGCTCCCTAGCTGAAGTGCAACCTGTTACATCGGGTCTAGTCTCTGCAGTTAGTAATGCTGGACTAATGGTTGAAGCCAAATATGGAAGTTCTGGTTTCCCACTAGTTGAGAGCCCTAACGAGGGTTGATTTCACCCCAATGCTTCTATACGCACTTCTTCTAATTTGGCTAGAAAGATTCTTCTCCTCTAGTCAAGAAATGTGACTGCCACAGCATTTTTTTTATTGCCTGTGTGTGGTGCGCCTTGGTAGTGTGCCATGAAAGCCTCTCTTGGTGTTACGCAATCTTTGTGCATGCATACCCAGTAGCTTCGCTAGCCCCATTCTGTCAAGCCAATGCAGGCAATTTATAGTTCATCCGGTCTTCAGCTTCTAAGAAATTATCAAATGATAGAGTTGTACAGCCGGGAAACGCGGTTTTCCTCGGATCTGCGCAATAATCTAGCTCTCAAACCCCGTAAGGAGAAAGAACGAGAGAAAGGAGATCAATTAAAAGAGGAACTGCACCACCTGCGTCAGGGCCAATGCGGTGAGAGCCGTTGCCACCGACGACCCGGCGGACATTGACTTCCCTGCAGCCCCCGTGTAGCCAATATTCAGCGAGTTATTGTTGAACCCGACGGTACGCAGCCAGGTTGGGGTGGCGGTGTCGTTGGCCAGGATGTCCGAATGGTAGGCATCCAGAACGCCCGCGAAGCGCAGCGTGAACTGCCCCTCGGCAGGGTCCCCGTAGAATAGATCCTCGTCTTTGCCGTGGGTTCGATGGCTCTGGAAGTACCCGTGAATAGTGTAGTTTGCCGTCTCGCCGTCGAACTCTAGCCTAACCGTCATAGCCGGCCACTCAGGCTGAAAGATGCCGTTATTATCCCGGGCCCAGGGGCCTGGTTCAATGTACCAGGGAACTATCTCTGTGGTGGTGCAGTTGGTCATGTTGACCCTGAGAGCTCCCAAGCCGTCGTCCCATGTATTGATGGTGCTCGAGAGACGATATGGTGGGCTCTGAGTAGTTGTGTTCAGTTCCCAATAGAACCAATCTTCGCCGCTCTTGTCGTCACGATACGTAGGTCTATCTCCCCCTCTGATCAGCCCTCTGTGATTCCACATTGTGGAGCAAGAGCGAGTAACGGAGTCACTCGGTGAGAGGAAAAGTGACGAACTGGGAAGAAATATAGCTCCATTGTAAGGAAGGGAGATTAACCAGTGGCCAACCGAAGCTAGTGATGGTAGAAAAGTCAAAACCAGGGACCCAGAGCATGAGAAAGGCATTCACAGGGTCGCTGTCATTGTTCAATATGCTTGGCTCAGTAAGGGCGAGGATCGTGTCATATTGTACGGTGGTCGTAGTATTGGCGAGCAACGGGCACTGGGCGCTGTCGTTCGCAGCTAAGCCCGTATAGGGCGTCAATTCCAACTCGGTAGTTCCATTGTAGTACGAGCCTACCCAGTAGTACGGGTCGTGAAGGAGTGTCACGTTATTAGGTCGGAAGGGCAGGGACGCATTGTAGCTCGCATCATCGGCGGCGGTTGTGAGGAAGGGAAAGGCGAGGCTGAGGATCACAGCATGAGCTGATGCAGAGACACGCATTTTGACTCCCTTCTGCAGACCCCTGGGCAGTTTGGGCCTCGAGTCAAATATAGACGTCTTTCTCTTTAGTGGACCAGGCAGTGTTTGGTTCAATGGGCCAAGCCTTGCCGTTTAGTGCTTGGTCTCGGCTATTTACTCGAGAAAATTTCGGTGACTCCATGAAACTGAGTTGGCTTGCTAGCGCACTATTATAAACTAACTTGTCTAAGGAGATCATATATGACCTACATGATACCGTCACACAAACTCAGTCCCTCAGATGGAGTAGATTGTTCAATTGACTGAGCTTAGAGCGCGCCCGAAAGTCAGAGGAGCTTTAGGCCCATTTATGTCCATCTGTGCCGGACGTCCATCTCTGGTTCGAACTGGCCTAAAGTAGTCCAATGGAGTAGTCCGTAGATAGTGCAGTGGACTGTCAATGTATCGTTCCTATCAATGTGATTAAAAGCCTTTACACGCAAATGTCAGTCCTATCTCAACCGTGACCATGTCCGAGAACAGAAAGGGCACCGCTAGGCATTACGAGCACACCAAACTAGCCTCGAGTTAGGTAAGACCAGAGAAAATATTTTTTCGGGGGGAGCTCCTTTCCGGAGAGTCCGCTAAGTACCCAAGGTCTGGCATGATAAAGGTAGTCGGAGCTATTCGTGATCTTAATTGTAACAAGAGAAGTGATTCAAAAGGTGCTTCAAGAAGAGATGAAGGACTGGGCTCTTTGGTCAGGATATCAGGGCACTCTGAGGCTATGAGGCTCCGGAAATCAGCAGCGAAATCGACCGTGTCACTCAGGCCTGCTTCAACGGTACAGTACGCCGACAGGGGGCCGAAGCGCTATGCACTAGTACCTCCTATCCATTACCGAGTTCGGCTCCAAATACCACATTGAGGTAATCTCATTTTGCACACCCGCTTGCCGTTGGTAACTACTAACTAGGCGTTGTTGGGATCCGTTTGTCTGCCAAGGGCGACGATATGGTATTACCTTTCATTTCCTTCCCCGAAAATATGGAGTGTAGTAGGGAGATACTCGCATTGGATAGAGAAGAACCCCCGGCTCATTCTTAACCCAGCCGAGTATTTACCCAGCGAGGACAAACCGCATCCCCAATGCCGTGCCTTGTCAAGTACAGACTCGCGTTCTCAGTTGCTGTACTGAGGAGTGAGTTTTCCTGTCCCTGTCGGTCCCTGAGACCCTGTGAGTCCCTGGTTCCTGAGTCCCTCAGTCCCTAGATCGTTCATACGCATACAAATGAGAGATGCAAATTTCTGTCAGGCTGGCCTTTTACAGTGATGGGTCTATGAGCTTACGTATGCGTTTAACCGGAATCGGTAAGAGGAATGCAAATCATTGAATTTTCGATAGATCATGAATAAAAGAGAATGATTGCTCGATCAGGTTAGCTCAAAATATGCGGGAATATTCCGGAATCATGTCGACTGGTCTAGACACCGTAGACAGGTAGTTATAAGTTGCGGAACACTTACTGTACTGTAGCCTGTACTGTGCATACCTTTCTCCCCATCGGAAAAAGGACGTTAGAATATGAGTACGATCACCTGAATGGAAAGTGCTACAACCTCATTTGTGCTTCTTTCATAGTTAACAAGTGAACTGATTATTCTTCGGTGCTTTAGGACAGATATTCTCGTGTGTGGCGTCAAGATAGGTTCTAGCTGAAGCCAAACAACAAGCTCTGACCAGACAGCCTCTACACCTGCTCAACCCCTGGCTATCGCCTCCGTATCGGCACCGGAACCAGACGATCTTATCTCCGGAAAGTAGTGGGTACCGCGCTCTCGGTTCGGCAAAGTCTTTCCGCGACATCCCCCTTTGTTGCTGAGATATTCAGGAACCAAAAGTTTCTTCCGCCCTAAATACATGAACCCTTCAGAACCTAATTGCATCAGTGTCTACATAAATCGATGATCATGTACATTATAAGGGTACCTTAGCATTGAATATCTAGCAACGCTCAATCCATATTCAGGGCTTGTCATTGGAATTCTCGATGGCCCGAGCCGCTCGGCTTTTCGGCCTGCAGCCCTATGCCCTAGTAACGTTAGCGGAACTCAAATCTAGTCATTCGCCATTGAGGTAATATCTAACAGCTTGAAATCATTCCAGCTTATTATTCATATGCCTAGGCCGAAAGATGACCCACCGACCACACTCATATCAAGACTTCAAGGCTCTTTCGTTCGTTCGAATAGTTTCACCGATCCGCATTGCAAGCTAAGGACAAAAATTTCACCTGACCCACAAGGCTGAGGCAATGAGGTTTGTGTGAAGAATCTTGATGCACACCATCTGAATCTAGCTTTCTTGGACATTTTCAATTCTTTGCTTTTCCTTTTCAAAAAATTGTTGATATTAGACATGAGACTTCTAGAGGAGCGGTCGAATTGTAGGCGTGCTTCCATGTGCAGCATTCACTGCCTTCTCAAACAATGAGATAGTCGATGTATATCGCTTCACTAGTGCATGATCACTGCCACTACCGGAGCACCAACTGAATCAGAGTCAAAAGTCCCACCAGAGCCCCAACGGTTGACACCTTCGATGCTGCCGAAGTGCATTTACCATGCTCTGTAAAATAAATCAGGGGTCAAAATAAGGACTGTATGCCACACATGGTTTCGAGTAGATAGTATGTCAATAGGACGGGGTCATTGGAGAGGAATACCTCGATCATAAGCACACTCATAGCCGCAGTCATAGATGCTTTCATTGAATTTGATATCTTTAGTCACATTGACACACTGATAGTAGCCACACTCGGTTGATGCTGCGCTCCACGAGACGACGTCGAGTTTGGTAGGGGTACGTTCGCAAATACACTGCAAGGTGGAATTGAACGTGCTGACGACGGCATTCGTGGTATTGGTGGTAAAGTTGCCGGCAGCACAGGTGCCATTAGAAGACAATTCGAATAGATACTCCGTCACACATGGGCTGTAGCAAGGCAGACAGTCCTCCACGTATGCATTCCAGGAACAGGCCATGACGGTGAAAGAGAAGGGGTCAGCTGGTATCGTCGTTATGAAAATGTGATGCCCCATCATTGGCGGGGGGGGGCTTTGCGGGAATTTTATAGTTCCCAATAGAGCATAAGCAGGGTAGACTAGTGCTAAGCTTCTGCACCAAGATTCAATAGCTTCACCTTTCATGAAACTCATCGGGTAATCCATGGTGGAGCCGTTGGACCCGAGCGGCGAGGCCGGCTCACTCGGGTGGCTCATAACATAAAGCTACGGTGTAGGGCTGCCCTACTCATATCGGGCGACTTGCCGTTCTTGGACTATCCTCGAACCCTCCGAGATCGCATCGACTGTACGGAGTATAGAATTATTCTGCAGAGAGGCGAGAATGAGTAAGAACAGACAGTAACTTCGTATCCCAGTCTTAGCATTAGAGCTAGTGTAACAGTGCTTCTCAACCGTATGGCGCCGGCCTGTATAGTCTTTTTTCTTTTCCCTTTTCTAATTACTCGTCAAGATGTTTGGCTATATAAAGAGCTCCCAGGCTGCTTCAAGACTATCAATTCAGTCATTCACTCATCCAGTCATTCATTCTTCCTTTCTCTTTTCCCCAAAGCTTTCGTTCTTCCCCCCCCTTCACTTATTATTACTGTGCCACATCGATTGTGGATAACTCTCATTTACCATCGAATATGGTCCTTCGTTTATGCTAATTACTTTCGTTTTTATTTCCCTTACCATTTTACATTATGCATCTTCGAACCTTCTGCATAAGTGCTCTAGTTGCGAGTGTGGCTGTAGCACGAAGGAACAACATCAACTCTTGTCCAAGTTCTTGTGACAACAGCAGTGACACTTTCAAATGGATCTCATACCACTCGACCGACCGTTTGGTCGCATGCAACCAGACCATGCTTTTAGACTTCGCTATTCACAACCCTCTGAATGACTCCCAAACCCACTCGACAATCTATGCTTGCACTCCCGGAAGTGAAACAGCCTCAATAGCCTCAACGGACCAGGCACTCGTTGCAGGTAACCACACTAAATTGTCCGCTGGTTTCGAGCTGGGCACTTGGGGTGCTATGTCCGACATGGAGGCGAGCCAAATAATCGACTCTCTTGATGATGTTCAGGCCTACGTTGCATCCAACCCAGCTAAAGCGAGTATCTTTGGCTATTCGGACAAGGTCGTGGTCGGAATCTACATGGGCGGTCGTTTTGAGGCCTCTACCACGGCTGCCACCGTCGTCGAGCAGATGACCAGTTACCTCGCGACTCAAGGCTCGTTCGAGCAGATGGCCCTGCAGTACTGTGGCTCAACTGCAAACTACATGGTCGGACTGGCAATCAGCACCCAGGCAGACCTTCCTGCAGTACAGCAGCTTGTCAAGACTTGGAGCGATGGGAACTGCATCTCGGGATTCGACTCGGAGACGGAGGTTCAGACTACTCTCATGCTTCAAAACAAGACTTCCTCGAGTCCCAACACGGTGGTCTCTCGGTCCGTACCACGGTCAGGTCTTGGTTCTCGTGCTGACACCTGCTCGACTGTTCAAGTTGTGTCCGGAGACACGTGTACCACCCTGGTCACTGAGTGTGGAATCACAGCTACCGAGTTCTATGAATATAACACAGCCTCTGATCTGTGTTCCACTCTCGCTGTTGGCCAGTATGTCTGTTGTAGTTCCGGGGACTTGCCTGACTACTCCCCTACAGCATACAGCAACGGAACATGTTACACATATCTGGTCGAATCCGGAGATACCTGCTCCTCGATCGCCGCGTCTACAGTCTTACCACGGACAAGATCAACAGCTACAACAACAATACTTGGGGTTGGCTGGGATGTGATGATCTCCAAGCCGGGGAAAATATCTGCCTGAGTGACGGGGACCCTCCCTTCCCTGCTCCGGTTGCAAATGCCGTATGCGGACCGCAGGTGGCTGGCACGACAGCCAACGGTACCAGCTATGATAAGTGGGCTGAACTTAATCCCTGTCCTCTCAATGCCTGTTGCGACGTCTGGGGTGAGTGCGGGACCACTCCGGACTTCTGTACTATCACGGAATCTGTTACTGGCAACCCGGGTACGGCTAAGACTGGAACCGACGGATGCATCTCCAACTGCGGGATCACCATTGAGAATAATTCGACTGCGCCTGCGGAGTTTTTCTCGCTGGGCTACTTCGAGTCTTTCAACGTGGATCGCACCTGCCTTACTATGGACGCCTATATGATTGACACTGACAAGTACACCCATGTGATCTTCGGGTTTGGGACCATCAACGCCGACTTCTCGATCAGTATCAACCAAACGGAACAGTTCGAGCAGTTCCTCAACCTGACTGATGTCAAGAAAATTGTATCTTTTGGTGGGTGGGACTTTTCCACTAGCACCGACACCTACAGTATCTTCCGCGAGGGTGTAACTGCCGCCAACCGTGCTACCCTGGCCAAGAATCTTGGGGATTTTGTCTCCAAGTACAGCCTCGATGGTATTGATATCGATTGGGAATATCCTGGCGAGCCTGATATCCCTGGGATTCCGGCTGGTAGCAGCGAGGATGGCACCAACTACGTGGCATTCCTGAAGGAGGTCCGTTCTATCATTGGCACTAGCAAGACCCTCTCGATTGCCATGCCTGCTTCTTACTGGTACCTGCAAGGGTTTCCTGTGGCCGACATCAACGATATTGTCGACTTCATAGTCTACATGACTTACGATCTGCACGGGCAGTGGGACTACGGCAATACTTCTGCCGATGATGGCTGCGCGGACGGTAACTGCCTCCGTTCGCACGTTAATCTGACCGAGACCTATTACGCTCTATCCATGGTCACCAAAGGTGGCGCGGATACCAATAAGCTTATGGTCGGCGTTTCCAGCTACGGCCGATCCTTTGAGATGACCGCCGCGAATTGCACGGGGCCGGAATGTACCTACGTCGGGCCCAATTCGGGGGCAACGCCAGGCCGGTGTACTCAAACGGCCGGGTATATCGCCAACGCTGAGATCAACGAGATCATTGCCACCAATCCCACGGTCCAAGTTTTATTCGATAGCGGTAGCGACTCAGACATCATTGTTTACAATGAGACTCAGTGGGTGGGCTATATGACCAACACGACCAAGAGCACTCGTACCTCGTACTACAAGGGGCTGAATATGGGCGGAACCACGGAGTGGGCCATTGACCTGGAAGCTTTCGTCTATGCACCTACCGAGTTCAATGAGCAGGTGGACATGTATTTCTCGGAGAAAGTCGTCTCATCGCTATTGAACTCGTCGGATATCTGCTCGTTCCCAGCGTCTAGCGAAAGCAGCGCCACCGCAAGTAAGGAACGAGGGGTGGCAGCCTATATCGACTGGCTATTAGAGGATGACTTGCAGACTTGTAAGTGTTCCTCTCTCAATTCACTAGCACTTTGATGAATTGTGACGACTAATCCAGAAAATCCAGCCGCATACTGGACTCGACAAATGTTTGTCTCTACGGGCGCCGGATCCACACAATGTGACCTCTACCCTGACGGCTCTTGTCCCTTCCCGACGGGCTATTGCAGCAACTACTCGAGTCCCGAAGAATACTGGGCCGAGTACGTGGTGGCCAACTTCCGTGAATATGTGAATGAGTTCGGAACATTGTTCCAGTTCGCGACCGCCAACCAGACCCTGTCTATTGCCGACATTGTCTCCGATTTTCCCGTCAAAACCGGGCCCGCGGCGCCGGGTCTGTCGACTGTGCTCTCCAACGTCGGCAGTATCCTAGGCATCGTCGGAGCCGGGGTGCCGCTGTTGGATGTTCCCGAGGAGGTCGAGACGGATGTAGGCAGCAGTCTGATCGGGGCCGCCAGTGGCATCTTTGGGGTTGCGGGGAGCTCCGTGTCGAGCAGCACCACCACCAGCACCGAGACCGAGACTCTCCTCGACCAAGTGCAGCAGGTATACAGCTGGATGTTGGACGGGGTCGAGGACACTCTGGCCGAGATCTTTGAGCACGGCAATATCTCGAGCTGGGCCTCGGGGCTTCGCGCCGGCGACTACACGTCCGAGATCGCCAACTTCTTCGACGGCCGGTACATGTTCGAGCTCTCCGAGGAGCAAGCCAAGGGCATTCAATCCATCTTCAACCAGCACCTGCGGGCGTACCTGGTGGGCAGTGCGCTGGCGGCGGCCAACTACTATATCCTCAAGGGGGCCTATTCGACCACGGACTGCGCCCAGAAGACCAGCGGCACGGTCATCGGCGACAGCTGCTACACCCTCCAGTACCCGTCCTCCACCGGGTGGACCCTGACCAAGCAGATCATGACCGAGCTCATCAGCAGCGACGATCTCACCAAGCTCACGGGCACCTACGACGTCGACCTGGAGACCCTGTACACCAACTCGTACACCTGCCAGAACACGACCGGAACCTACTACGGCACCAAAACCCCGACCTCCGCCAGTGATATCCTCGACGCCGCTTCAACCACGCTGCCGACTTGCTTCTTTAATCTTCCGGTCTTCACGGTCGAGATTTCCGACGAGCCCAGTACGAACAACTATCTCTCTTCCCCGTGCCTGGTCTACCGTCTCAATTCGACCGCAAGCACCGCCGAGCTGGGCGTGACCTGGATGCCCAGCAACCTGGCGAAGATTTTTGTCAAGGACTTCTGCCAGTGCAGTCAGTCCGAACGCGAATGCCTCCTAGCATAGAATACTGGGTCAAGGAAGAGAGGGCCAGGAAAATGGTTATAACGTGACACACCTGGAGATGTTTGGCGTGGGAATTTTTCACTCCACAAAAGTTTGAGGTTGGAGGGGGGTTGGCGGGGGGTGGGGGCTAGGGGACGCCGTGGAGGATCGGTTTCTGCCCGTGTTAGTCTTTACGAACATTCCAGTATTTTACAGTGGTTTCGGGTTTCCATCAATGTTCGTTGGGATACAAAGCGCGAAAGTGTTGGCGCGATGCAGTATAAAAGCTGGGAAGGCATTCATCTGAAGACACCATGTACATTCTGAGGGCTCATCCTAAGCATCTGACAGAAAGCGAGCCAGACAGATCCAGTCTCAACTATATCAATGTCAACATTAAGGCAATCACTGAAAAGCAAAAAAAAAAAAAGGAAGGCGAAACCCCAAGTAAACCACAGTAATACACACTTCCCTTCCCCTTCCGTAAACAAAGGAATATCATTATAATCCAGATGGCGAATTCCTCCTCTCCAATCCGGCCGATTTAGCATGACGGATCCATTCCTAAGTCCGGTGGTGCAGAAAGTAAATTGAACTTTACCTGTTGGAATAATCCGTAAGAATCCTGTGGGAGGATCATCTTCAGATCCATGAGAGAGAATTAGCGAGGAGTGGAATGATCATACGCAAATAAAGTGTTGAGATTGCTTGGATTCGGCTGGAACTGAAGCCCTGGGTGGCCAGGCCCCTCCAGGAAGAAAGTAAAAGATTCCCCTCCAGTCATACACTAACCAGGAACAAACGCGCTGTACTGTCCTCCGCTTTATAGGTCGATCAATATCAACATCAACATCAACACCAATCCCAACAATGATATCGATATCAATCCCGAAGGGAACCTACGCCCCTCAGCAACTAAGTTCAGGCTGGGCCAATCAGTATAGTAATTGCATATTGCAACCAAGTCCCGTGCTATATCCACGGTACAGTCCTAAATGTAAGTAAAAAGAACAAAAAAAAGAAAGAAACAGACAACCCCCAAAAGAGCCCCCCGGCGAGTAAGGCAGGGGAAGTATAACTCAACACTACCCATCACTCGCAGCAGCGACTTTGCCTTCCCCCCCCACCACCCCCCGACCGAGAAATAAAATAACCCGCCACCTACAGTCCCGGATGCTAGTCCACCTACCATCACACTGGAGTTAAAGTTCACTAGTATTACAGTAGTAACTACAATTAGTAAGATTCCAAACCGTGGCCCACCTCTTTCTTTGAACTCTAGCATCTTGCCCCGAAAAAAGAAAGGAGGTCAGAGATTTTCATTCGTTTGAACAGCTGTATAGTACTGGACAGTACTGGACAAGTCTGTTGTTGATAAAGAAAAGAAAAAGAAGAAGGGACAACAAAAAATACAATATCTAGTACCGCACCGTCTCCATCGATATATCAATTCCCTGGCTGAATCTTTAATACTTGCAAAACTCCGTCCGAAATTAGGGCTAACTCCTCCGCGGGGGTTCGGCCACAACCACAACCACAACCGTTTCAAGGATTCAAGGATCTCAGGAGGACTAGCCGTTATCAGACGGTTTCCTATGTCAACAGTATACGATCAACTGCAGGTATACAATCAACTACAGGAAACGAGTTTGTCTATTATGGATTACTAACGAGCTTTGAATTAGATCTCTGAGTTGGACGAAGGATATCCTCCCTGGGGGCGGTAGCGCAGGGAAAGGATTCAGGGACCGGGGACCAGGACTGGGTGGATCGCACTGGTATCCTGGATTGAGTTTTGTGTTAATTGAATTGACTCTCTGTATACGGGACCGTAGTGGTAAAAGAGTGGATCTTTGCAATGGAGCCCATCATTTCGGAAGATAATTTCCTATGTTCCAAGCTCTTGATAAAGAATTGACATACCTACGTAGTGTGTCCAGTAGTCAAGAACAAGAGCCGCCAAGTTTCCGCCAGAGAGTTCTGTGAGCACGCCCCCACCTGCCTACCGGCTTTGGCGAAGCTTTTGGTGCATCCATGCGGGTCTATCTTTCTCTACAAACTACAATGAGGGCTCCCCGTTTTGGCCCCTCGAGCCCTTATGTAGTGTATGCATCGGAGAGCCACAATACAAGTAGGTTCCCAGAAGAAAACACTCACGATGATATGTACGGCCTCATCTTCATTGATCAGTTAATCCTCAGCCAACCCGACTTCGAATTGAACTTCCTGCCGGAAGCACGACACAACCCCTATCAGCCTCATTACCAGCGGAAATCCTCGTAGTGCTTACCATATTCGCTGAGCGGCCATTCATGCCTCAGCGCCCCGTCCGGCGGGAAGGGCACGCTCGCGCCGCGCTCGATCACCCCCAGGAACACCCCCAACGCCCCGAACCCCTCCATGCAGCCCACACAGGCGGTTCTCCCAAGCGAACAGGTGCGGGTCCGGATCTTTCTTCTTTTTCGATGATGATGATGATGATAGCGCATCTCTTCCAGCGCTGTGGCGCTCGGTCGGAGCAAATTGCAGAAAAAGGCGTTGCAGCGACGGCAGCCCGTCCTCGTCGCGGCGGTACATGAGCAAATCGTCGAGTTCCTCCGCCAGCGCCCACGAGGCCTGCATCAGGCAGTCTTCGATGAACAGGCTCTGCAGCGAGCGCGGGAGAAGGGTTCGCAGAGGGGTCGCAGGTTGCAGAGCGTGGGTGCTGTGGAAGAAGGGGAGTAGGTTGGCCCATCGCATGCGCACGGTGTGCAGAATGGGGAATGCGGTGAGGTCACCGAAGAAGACGGGGCTGGGGTGCTCCGCGTCCTGTGGAGTTTCGAGGCCGTGGCGGGCCAGGGCTATGCTGAGGTGGCGGAGTGAGGATCGAGATCTTTGGAGAGGCCGGTAGAGCTGTGAGACGTCAATCCAGCCCCGCCAGCCCCAGCACTGATCCACCTCGATCGTGAGCGATTCGAGGTGCGGACACCATTTGAGGAGGCGAGGGAGGCTGGACAGGGTATCGTGCGGTCCTTCCAGGTCGAGGTGCGTCAGCGATAACGCCACCGCTGGATCATGGCGCAGTTTGCGGGGTAGTGGACTGTCGCCTGGGTTGCAGATGTAGAGTTTGCGGACGGAGGGGATGCGGAGATAGGGCAGCATTCGCTTGAGCGGCACGGCTTCGATCCCTCCATCACAGTGCCATACCGGCCCATCGCGGAGGGACACCCGGGCGAGGCGCGTGAGGATCCCGAGCTCGGGGTTCTTCGCCCACTGAATCACTCGCTCGGAGTGGGTGGTGTATCCCTGCGTTGCCACGTCCGTTTAAGAAAAACCCCATTTCATGCGTTCCTCCGGTAGTTCGACGGCTAGCCTCTCGAGGTTTTTCACTTGGACCAGCAGCAATGCCAGCCAGGCATCCTCGTAAATCCACGGATCTCGGTACATGTCTTGCCGTTCTTGATGGAGCTGGAGATCCCTTCGCCAAGCGTGATACTTGCGTCGATGCTTGCGCTTCGCATCGCCGTACGGCAACATGAACGCGCGATATTTCTCCTCCGGCAGGGCTGGTAGTGGAGTTGTGCGACTCTGCTCTTTGAGACAGTCACTGGGATACAGAGTCAAGGAGCGGGTCAAGGGAGCGAGACGTGGGTTCTCAATCAACGCCTGGGTGAATCGCCGCACGGGGTTTCTCTCATCCCCATCCACAATTCTGAAAGCGTCATTCCAATAAGTATTGAGGGGAAGGCTGACTCGGTTATAAAGAACGGCAACAAATAGTGAGTAGTAGTCCTTTGATACGAGGACCAACTGGGAAAGATCGTGGGTGTTCAGGTAAGATACTACTTGGAGGATAATTTCCCCGGGCATTGAACCGAGAGCCATATCAGAACTTGACGGGGAAAGTGACAGAAGAAGGCGCACTTGTAAATTGCTGACTCCTTAGCAGTGGTGCTAAGGCTAAGTAGTAAGTATCTTACTTAAAAGTCACCAGCTAGCCTTGCCTTTAGCGAGAGGGCACAAGAGAAGTGGGGCTGGACCATAGCTCGGTAAAGCTTTCTGTCGCCAATATGGTAGAACATAAATCTAAGAACATCTCCGGTGGTGAGATTTGCCCATTTCTTCCCAAGTTTGTAGTTGACAGCAGAGAGAAAAACGGAACTTCGGACAACTCCTTATGCAATCCATATACGAGGAGTGTCAGTATTAAACGGATTTGTTCTTGCCCTTCGGGGTCCTGGTCCTTCGAAATGGTGGCTAAGAGTTTAGAATAGAGGCCTTTGGTGTCGGGAGGCACAGCTTGTAACTTGGCGACCAATGTATTGGGCTCATTTGCTTTAATCCTGCGCAAATATTCCAGTGACAGATGGACCCACAGAAACGTACCACTATTAGTCAACTGGTCTGCGTGCAGCATGATAAGCTGAGGACACCATACATTCCACTTGCCCTTTGCTTCAATGTTGATTCGACCTCGTTCTTAACATCGTCTGGGATTGGGCTTGAGAGAAAGAGACTCTTTTCCAATGTCCGTACACGACTGGTGACGAGTCTGTCAATGTCTTGCTGGTTCTGCTGGTCAATCAGAAGTTCCCACCTGACTTGCCAAATCTCATCCATAAGTGTGGCAATATTGACATAGTCTCGACTGGAATAAATATCTTGGTAGGACTTGATTCGTCGGCGACCTTGTTCAAAGTCTGCAGTAACTTGTTTCGATCATCATTGTTTCCGTCAATGATATTGGTCTGTCAGGATTCTCTCCCTATTCCAACAAGCAGAGAAATGCAGTCTTCTCGATCTGGAGTCGAGCTTGCTGTCTGTAACTCAGAATATTTGTCTACCACCCCCTTGACGAACGTCTTGGCCCCTCCAGTGCAGAGTTGCTTGAGCAGCGAATTCAAAATCAGTTGTGCAGATTTAGCTTCACTTGCCCGGTTAGCTTCGTCGACGTAAAAGAAAGCGATGCGTTCTCCATTTTTTTTGGACTGGCGTACAGGAGATGTGAGACCAAAACAGATCTAGGATGAAGCAGTCGGAGCTCTCGCGCTCGAACACATTGGTTTTCAGGATCATTTCGAGCAGGTAAGTCGTCAATTAGGCCTAGCACCTCCTCCACTTCGGGATGATGCGCGTCCGTGCAGCGCGTTTTGAAAGAACGGATGGGCCAGGTGAGTGTTTGCTGTTTTCCCAGACTTTGAAGGTTGCAGAATTGGTTGGTCTTTGGTCTTTGAAGGGGAGGGGAGAAGTTGACGGAAGGGAAGGTTGGGAAGGAACCACCGGGGGAAGAGCAGCGTCGAAAGTAGCTGGTAGCATCCAAGATAATCCGAACGGGGAGTAACTGCCCATGAGGCGGAGTGGTTCCTCTTGCCCTCTTGTGAAAAATCTACGGTCGTAGCTTGAGGTCTGAGAGGTTGCAGGAGCGGAGTGATTTGGAGATATCAAGGACGAACCAAGCAGGACTAAACTCGGTTTGTGTAATAGGTCTCTGTATGCGTGAGCACTTCAAGATAATGACAACTGTACATCCTCGTAGTCCGCTGAGCTCCATCAACCAGCAAGTCAAACAATACTATGAAACGACAAAATAAGAAACCAAAAATCGAGTTCATAAATCATCAGGACTGGGTTGGTGAAGATATATAGTTACAGCCCCGCAACCAAGCTCATCCCACAAGCTCTCGCTGCCGCTTCCCCTCTCATTACCCTCCTATGTCCACTACCCCGTTCGGCTTAATGACATCTGCCACATCAAGATTATATCCAAGAAATAGAAGTGAACTTCGCTTGCGCATTATTTCCGAGGGAGCTACCATCTTCCCCCAAAACAAAAAACAAATCAAGGCAAAACTATACAATATAATAAACAATCGTCTCGAACAAGCATCGACTAATTTACCCAGAGTATGGTTTATGCTGGTGGTGGTAGGGAGGATAGCTGGCTTGCATTTGCATGCGGAGGCGACGATCTATTCGGAATCAATGTTAGTACAGGCTCCATGCAAGTATTGAAGAAAGAAATGAGAAAGGCGGAAGAAGAGATTAAAGCCGAAAAGCTATGCTTTGGTACGCACCTTTTTCGAAATCCCGCCACCTTTTCATCGTAATCTGACTGCTGTCAAACTCGCCCTCGCCCGCCTCGTGGCCCTTGTCTTTGCCGCCCGCCGTCTGCCGCGTGTCACCCCAGCTGAAGTCGTCGAACTTCCAATACGAGTACGTCGGCAGCACGAAGTTCCACACGGGCAGCGACAGCAGGTAGATCAACATCCACAGCACGTACACCATCCTGTGGGCGGTCACCACCACCAACACACCTGGTAGTCCCAGGATCAAAGCTAACAGAACCAAGGGCAACACCTGGACGGGGCGGTGGACAATCGAGTTGATCACAACGTAAAAGGTGAAGGCGATGGCGGCGGGCAGCACGAGCGTGCCCACCAACTCGATGAAAATGACGAACTGCATGCTGAAACAGAAGGTGCCGCAGAGGTCGCGCACCAACACCAACTCCATCAGATTGTGCACGGTACTGTTGATCCATCGCCGGCGCTGAGAGAGCAGCACCATGAACTTGTCCGGCACCTGGGTCTTGCACACGGCCTGCGGCACGAAGATCTGCTTGCGCTTGGGAAAGGTTCGGAGCATGAGTGTCGACAGATAGCGGTCCTCACCTAGGAGAAGCAGGTTCTTCTTATGGAGTGTGTCCACGACGTTCTCTGAGTAGTGCTCGACCACATCCGGGTTGGCGAGAATCGGAACCCAGTAATTTTGCCCGCCCTTGGGCGCTTTGATACGATACATCGAGAAACATCCTGGAAGACAGGTCACACCACCAAAGACTGACTCGAATGACTTGGCCTGGTGATGAGACACAAAGTATCTAGATGGTTGGTTAGTTTGCACCCACAACAAGAACAGAGAAGTAAGTAAAAGAAGAGAAGCATACTCGAACACCTGAATCATCGTCACCCAACTGTCGGTCTTGTTGGCAATCTTCGTCTCGCCACACAGTCCCATAACATCCGGATCTTTCACCATCGCCGAGATCATGTGCGTCAGACTGTCCGGAAACACCTTGGTGTCTGCATCGACACACAGAAGAACCTCGTAGAAGTCCGGCGGAATTCCGGTCACCAGCCAAAGCCCATTAAACATCTCAAACTCCAGTTCCGTCATTCGTTCATCGAACATTACCTTTTGCAAGAAAGACATCAAAATGATCTGACTATCTCTCTTACCACGGTTACCAGGTTTGGACTGAGTAGCTTCCGCCGGTGTCCCACATTTCACGACGATCATCATGGGCACGCGCTGCTGCTTCTCCTCGGGAATGATCGAGTTTACGCCGTAGTCGTAGAAGCCGGCGTAGACCTTGGCCATGTTGTGCCGTTTAGATCCGGTGGCCACGGCAACATAAGAGAAGGGCTGGACCTCGTCCATCGGGACGATCGGATCACGCATCATGCGCAGAACAATCTCTGGAGTGGAAAACTCCTCGCCTTTACCCTTAATCATTCCATCACAGATCACGATAATGGTTTTGTGGCTGTTCGGATAGTCGGTCATGGCAATGGAGTCCAGCGTGGAGCGAATACCCTCTTCACCTTCCGAGTAACAAGTCACCAGACATAAAGAATGAGCCAAGGGGAAACCATACGGCTGCCACTCGGGAGGGGGCTGAGGGATGACCGCTTCATGAACGAAGCCACCTAGTCCAGCAGACTCCGATTCCGGCATCGCAGTTGAATACCGAGAGTCCTGAAGTGCCAGGCTAGATCGACTCGCTGAGTTGGCATGGCGCGAACCATCAGCCGTCAAACTACCTCCGCTTTCGTTGTAGTTCTGCCTATATACGGAGTTGCTCCCACCGGGCACCAAGCGGGTGGTCGAGTTCTGACTGGCCATCGTCACATATTGATATTTCTGCTTGCCCCCGTTGCTCACGGTGTAGGGACTGGAGAAGCGAGACGTGGTAGGCAAGAAGCTGGCCCTCTTACCGGGCCGTTCCAGCATAGTCGGGTCTGCGATTCGTGGTCCCGGGCGGTAAATATCGTTTGACCAGTCCTCGATTTGCTGGTTCCGCGTTTTGGAGTCAGCTGCCATACTAGTCCGAGCTGGGGCATACTGCTTGGCCAGAAACCACTGGAAAAGCAAAGCAAAGATGAACTTCACCACAACAATCGAAAGAATGAAGATAAGTGATACATAAAGCACCACCTTGGAAGCAATACAGCCGACCGTGTCAGTGTCGATGCTGCCGACCTTGATGATCTGAGACAAACACTTGCCGATCTTTTTCTCCTCGCCAGTTTGCAGATAGTACGTGAGATCAACCCCGCGCACGGCCGAGTTCTCGCGAAGCTCATCAAATTTCTTCGGATATTTGACTTGCGTTGTGTTGAACCAGCGTAGAAGATCCAAATCCAAGACATTGCCAGAGTAGACGGCAAGATTCCTGCTCTTATTCTTGGTGTCTTCCCACGTGTAATACACGTCACCGGAGCTTTTCAAGTTATAGAACGACTTACGAGCCGAACCGGAAGTGTGGCAGGCCCAGCCAAGGTAGTAAGACTCCGTCATGTTCGGCTCGGACGAACCGTCCTGGTTGAACGCATGACACGGGAAGTACCACGCAAGGTCGCCATCTGAGTTTGTCGGCACATCAGATCCATCGGCAAGAGTGATCAAGCCCTTGCACTCCCCATTGACCTCCTGAAAGAAGAAGCTACCGTCTTGGCCTCCGTATTTATGCGATAGGTCCCAAAGCACGTTAGTCCCAGCTGGAATGCCCGCGGCCGCTGGGTGCGTCGAGTGCGACAAGTCGTATGCCTGACCGTGGAAGATCATGTAGCTACTACTGACTTCATTGACCCTAAGCCGAGTCG